AGGCAAGCCCTGCCCAGGGCTCTGCCAGACTCTTGATTCCTTAACTTTGTGTCAGGGTCCTTGTAGAAGGTGGCAAATCTCTGTGACTGTGGCCGAGGACAGGAGTGCGCCATGGTCTGGTCCTGTCCCTGTCTGGGCCTGTGGCTGCAAAAGGCAGGATAACAAGCAAAGGAGCAGCCAGCCTGGCTCAGCATGGGCAAGCCCTGCCCAGGGCTCTGCCAGGCTCTCGATTCTTTAACTTAGTGTCAGGGTCCTTGTAGAAGGTGGCAGATCTCTCTGGCTGTGTGGCCGAGGACAGGAGTGCGCCACGGTCTGGTCCTGTCCTTGTGCGAGCCTGCGGCTCTGGAAGACAAAGGAGGAGCAGCCGCCATCTGTCGCGGGAGGGGGGGGGCCCCCCCCCCCCCCCGCCCCCCCCCGCTGCGCCGCCGTCCCCGCCAGGCGTCACCAAGACCCACAACTTGGCCTTCCAGGAGTGCGAGCGGCTACAGGCCGTTTTCGACACCCAGCGCTGCGCCAGCAGCCTCCGCGCCCCGGCACGGTGAGGGCGAGCGCGGGGAGAGGTTGGGGCGGGGAAGGAGGGACCCCGCTGGCCCTGGGGGGTTTTGGGGTGCTCAGCCCCCGGCGCCGTCCCCTCCCTCCCTGTGCCCGCAGGGTGCTGGCGGAGGCCGTGGTCCACTTTTCCCCGACGCTGGCTGAGGTGACGCTGGGGGCCGGCCCCGGGGGCAAGATCAGCCTCCGAAACTACGTGGAGGACGAGGCGGGTGAGCCCGGCGGGGCGGGGGTGCCCCTTCCCCGGCCTCGGGGTGCCGGCACGGCCCCCAGACCCACCTCTTCCCCCCCCCCGCCAGAGCCGAGCAAGACGATGGTGACGGAGCTGTGGCTGGCCGAGGACGAGTTCCAGACGGCGGCCGTGGCCCCGGGCTCCCACATCACCTTCTGCCTCAAGGAATTTCGGGTGAGTCCCTGCCCGGGTCGTGTCCCCCGCCTCCAGCCCTGGGGTCACCCCTCAGCCCCCCTCAACCTCCCCTTTGTCCCCAGGGGCTGCTGAGCTTCGCCGAGGCCTCCAACCTGCCCCTCACCATCCATTACGACGCGCCCGGCAGGTAGGAGTGGGCGCCCTGGCCCCCCGGTGCCGACCCTGCCCCTGGCCACTCCCCTTCAGGCCCTCTGTGCCCCCAGGCCGGTGATCTTCACCCTGGATGATGCCGTGCTGGAGGTCCACCTGGTGCTGGCCACCCTCTCAGACCCAGAAAGCGGCTTGCAACCCACCCCGGCCAACGGGTAAGCCTCGGGGTGGGTGACAGTCCGGCTGCCATCAGTAGGGACCAGAGTGAACAGTCCCCCCACTCTACCCCCAACTCATTCGCTCTCACCCCAACAGTGTGTCCCACCTGCCCGCCCCATCAGATGACTTTGCCGATGACCTCGAATCCTACATGATTGCCATGGAAACCAGCACCCACGAGGAGGGCTCGGGGGTGCCCCCCAGCCCCACCTTCCCCCTGCGCACCCCACGTCCAGCGGAAAGCGACCCTGAGGAGGAGGAGGAGGAGGAAGAGGACGGAGCTGTGCCGGGGACGCCCCCTCACAAGAAGGTCTGGGGTGGGCACGGGCGTGCTTGGGGATGGGCACAGCCCCCTCCTGACCCCCACCTCTCCCCACAGTTTCGCTCCCTGTTTTTTGGCTCGGTGCTGACACCGGGGCGGCCCGGCCCGGCCCCCACCCAGGAGGTGCTGGCAGAGGACAGCGACGGCGAGTACTGAGACCCCCGAGGGTGCGGAGCTGCCCATTACAAGTTTATTCCCAAAAAATTCCTCCTGCCTCGCCCCTCCACTGCCATCCCAGGGCTGGGCTCTGGGCTCCCCCCTCGCCCCAGCGGTCCCTGCCCTGGGGGGGGCTGGATTTGGTTCGGTGGAGCGTGGCGGGCAGGGGCGGGAGCAGGATCTTACAAATAAAAAAACAAGTCGAAAGAAAAGCGACCTGATGCTGAGGGTGGGGGGCCGGGCCCCAGCCGGGCGCGGGGGTGGCTCGCGGCTCATTTCTTGGCTTTGGCAGAGTTGCGGGGAGGGGTGACGGGGCGTCCGGCGGGGTTCAGCCCGCTGAACTGCCCGTATTTGCCCTTGTTCTTGTCGGCCGGCTTCAAAATCTGGCGGGGAGAGGGGGGAAAGGGGTGAGTGGGGGGGTCTGCACGCTGTGCTCCCTCCCTGCTCCCCTCCCGCCTTGAAGGCGGAGGCTCCCCCCAGTTCCGTGGGCACCAGGAGCCCCCTCCGCTCTCCCTCCTGCCCCCCCGGCCCTGCGTGCACCAGCACCCGCTCCCTGCAAGAACTGGGCCCCCCCCAGCCGCCCGTGGTCACCGCAGGCCTGTCCCGCCCTCGCTGGCGGTGCCCCCGGCCCACCTGAAATGAACACATCAGCGTTTCGTCCACGCTCATCATGGCGCCCGCGTTGTCAAACTCCCCGCAGTAGTTGGGAGCCGAGAAGAGGGTGACGAGCTGGCGCTTGGCGAAGAACTCGTAGCCGTCCTCCACCACCTGCGTGGGTGTCAGAGACGGCGCTGAGCCGAGCACCCCCAGGGCAAACACCCACCCCCTGGGGCAAACGCCCACCCTCTGGGGCAAACACCCCCAGGGGTCCAGCCCACAGAGTCCCAACAAGCCCCCCAAGCTCAAACATCCCCTCTGGGGCCAATTACCTCCCCAGGAACCCCACCTGAGACAGTCCCAAGAGCAAATATTGCCCTTGAGGGGCAAATCCTAGGGGTAGCAATGCCTGCCCCATACCCAAGACCCACTGGGGACCCGAATTTCCCTCCCAGGGGTGCACCCGCTTGCCCCCAGCAGCGGGGTGCCCGGTGGTACCTGGTGCGCCCGGCAGATGAGGTCCAGGTCGTGCTTGTGCAGGAACTTCGCCACCACCTCCGCCCCGAAGGTGAAGGAGACGCCGCGATCGTTTTCACCCCAACCCTGCACGTCCTTGTCGGGGTCGGACCAGAGCAGGTCGCAGAGCAGACCCTGATCCGGCACATCCGTGGGGCGCATGATCCGCCGGATCTGCTCCATCGACTGCAGGTCGGGAGAAAGCCCTGCGGGGAGATGGGGGGGGCATCGTCAGGTCCTGCCTCTTCGGAAACAGCCCCCCTCCACCTGGGGCACCCCCAAAGCGTCGGCACACAGCTCCCGTCCCCCCTCCAGCCCCCGATAGCTGCTTCCCCGAAGCCCCGGGCAGGGCCGTGCCCACCTCCGTGGCAGCAGAAGATCTTCTCATCCACGATAGCGGCGATGGGCAAACAGTTGAAGCAATCGGTGAACGTTTTCCAGAGCTTGATGTTGTACCGTCGCTTGCCTGCAAGGCAGAGGGTGTGGGTGCCAAGTGCTGCCCCTCCAGGATACTGAGGGGTGCGTGGGGCTCTCCGTGAGCCCCCACGTGGGCTCGTGCCCCCCAGGTGAAGCACACAGAGGCCAGAGGCGCCAGCAGAGCTCCGGCTGCACGGGGACAATGCCGTGGGGTGGCACTGCGTCATGCAGGGGGCATCCTTGGGGTGCAACCTCCTAGAAGTGGTTGGCAGGGGGGGCATGGGGTGGGCGTGGGACGCTCAGGGTGGACGATGCTGGGAGCACCGGGGTGGTACAGGTTGGTTGTGGGGACAAGGATGGCACAGGGGTGGCAGGAGGACTCCCCCCGGTCACAGCAGCTGTAGACGGGGCGGGTGCAGGGCAGCATGGGGAGGACAGCGGGTAAGGGACGCGTGGGGACAGCAGAGGGGTTGTAGGGGGTACGCGGCCGCAGCCCGAGCACTCACACTCGTCGTAGAAGCCATAGATGCGGTTGATGCTGGCGCACTCGTGGTTGCCGCGCAGCAGGAAGAAATTCTCGGGGTACTTGATCTTGTAAGCGAGGAGCAGACAGATGGTTTCCAGCGACTGCTTGCCCCGGTCCACATAGTCGCCCAGGAACAGGTAGTTGCTCTCGGGGGGGAAGCCCCCGTACTCAAAGAGCCGCAGCAAGTCGTAGTACTGCCCGTGGATGTCACCTGGAGGGGGACGCAGGGTGCGCATGGGACCCCAGCTCCCCACAACCCCCCATGCCACCCCGCAGCGGGCCCCAGCGCTGCCCATCCACGTCCCCGGGGAAGCACAGGGCCGCGCTGGCCCAGCTGGCCCTCACGCCCGTCCCGGGGGCTCGCCCAGCCTCTGCGGCATCCAGCCAGCCCTCACCACAGATCTTGAGGGGTGCCTCCAGCTCCAGCAGGATGGGTTGGCTGAGGAAGATCTCCCGTGACTTGAGGCACAGCCCCCGGATCTCGTTCTCCGTCAGCTGCACGTTCTTTCCCGGCCGCGACCCTTGGACTGGCCCCACCGGAGAGAGAGAGAGAGGCGTCAGGGACCCCGCCAGCACCCCGCGGGCACCCCACATGCTGGCACTGAGGGACGGGGATCGGGGCCGTGGCGCACCCTGTGCCCGGGCGCTGGCAGGAGCGATGGGCATGAGGGATTTGGGTGTCCCGTCCCGCAGCCAGAGATGGCCCGCCCCAGCATGGGTGGGCACGGATCACCCCCTGTCCCAGCGCACCCCTCTCCTGCCAAAGCTGGGGGTTGTGGCAGGGCCCCCCAAACCACGGGGCCTGCAAACCCAGATCCTCCTCGCTCCCCGGTGCCTGCCAACCTGGCACCCCCGTACCCCAACACACCCCTCACGCTGCTTATCCCAAATCCAGCCCTTTGCCT